TTTGTTGCTTTGCTGTAAAACTCGAAAATTGTCAAAAGTATATATATTTGTTTATTTGCTTTCAAGTAAATCGTTGCCTCAAAAGTTTCTAAATGGACTTTTGTTTCGTATTTTAGTCGAAGGTTTCCTAAAATATATTTGCATTACATTTTCCCTTTGCCTTTTGAGGATTGAATTCTTGATCTACCGTGCTCTATAAATATTTGTTTGCCTGCCAGTTGCAGCACAATTTGCCCAGCTTAATTGAAACAAAGAGTTAACTCAGTTCAACACTCGGACGCAGGGTCATATGATGTCCGAAGCGTATTAAATGTAAAAGCTTTTCATAGTCCTTCTCGTCCTACGCTACGTTGGGTCCAAACACCGCCCACTTTTCCGCCCGCTTTTCCACCCCCACCTTGCATTCGACCATTTTACACGCTTTCCGATGTCAGTGTGTCAGTGTTACAGTGCCAAAGCCGGGTCCATGTCCGTGTTTTTGTGCTGCTGTCTGTGTCCTTAAGATGCCGACATTCCACGAAGCCCTTCTCCCACTTTCTCCCCCTTTCTCTCGGTCTCTGTTTTTATCCCTCCCTCTCTCTCGCACTCTTTCTCCCTTTTTGTGCTGCTGGGGAAACGATTTGGCAATTGGAACACGACAGCACATTCACAATTTGGTACGCGTTCATTTCGCGGCATTTTCGTTACGTATACGCAATGTGAGCCAAAGGTTAAGGGAATAATTGTTAAACGTTTGGTCGAAAACATTTGAAAAAAAAATATGGAGTTCTCATTGACGAAATCTTTGATTGGTTATCGGTATTTGTGTGCTAGCCATAAATGTGTTGACTTTATGCCAGTGATTGTGTGTGTGCTCACTAGTTAACTTCCTTCGTTGGCCCGGTGTTTCCTTTATTTTCCCTGTCTCCAGACAAATGTAAACAAATTTCAATAATGGAAAATAATGTGAGAAAGGAAAGTGTGTATATGTGTGTGTGTGGGGTCAGGCGCATGTCTGCAGCAGAAGAAGAAGAGCGGTTAAAGCAGCTGTGCGAAGTTCTCGTTTTATTTACATTTATTAATATTTCCTTCGCCTTTCCTCTTCTTTTTATCACTCTGTGACTGTTTGTCTCCGAGTGTGCGGTTTTGCTCTAGGGAATTGTGGCGTCGCCATGGCGTATGCGTAATATTTTGTTTTGTAATTATATGCGCGGCGGGCAAACGAAAATTTGTGTTTAATTAATTAATTGAAGCGCAGCAGCAGCAGTAGCAGCAGTAGCAGTGGCAGTGGCAGCAGCAACAACGACCAACCAGTGACAGTGGCGAGCGTTTTTAGTTGACCGCGTGGCGCCAACTCGAGCGCAACTCAACGGCAGCTCCCCCGAAAATCGTTGTATTTTTTGTGTTCTTTTTTTTTTGGTTCCCCCGATTTTTATGGGAACCAAAATACATAAAATACATGTGTGTACCTCTCTATGTAAGACTTTTTTTTTCTGGTGCCCAGACCTAAAAACAGCTGCTTGCGTGAGTGCGTGTGTGTGTGTGCCTTTGTGGAAGCGAGATGGGCATATATAAATAGAATTTCTTTTTCTGCCTTGCATCCGCCAAACAACGACCTTGGTGACCAACAAAAAAAAAAAAAAAAGAAAAATAAAAACACAAACACAAAACGAAACGGAACGGAATGAAACATGCAGCGGCAAATGATAAATAAGGAAAGCCAAGTGAAATTATAAATATCAAGTTCCATTTTTTTCCGGTGCCCCCATAAGTAGGCAATACTTTTGGCCCCATAAAGTGCATTCACATTTACAGCCAATGAATAAATAAATAAACGACAATTGGCAGCAACATGTGGCCAAACCGCAATGCCAATGCCACTAAAATGTAATTACAACTGGAAAACCAAACCGGCAACGAATACGAAAAACCACAATGATTCGACGACAATCCTCGAGGAGCATAAGAACGACAAAAAACAACAATTAAAAGTGCAATGAAATTTTAGTTAGATTTTATTTAGTTTTGCGGAAGGGACCTTTGGTGACGATCATCTAAGCTGTTGCTTGCTTTTAATATTTTAAAATAGTATTATATGAATAAGAATAGATTTATAGATAAAGAATAATGTTTTTGAAAATTTCAATATTTTCAGTATTTTTTACTTGTGGCCAAAATTACTGAAATAATTAACAGCTTAGGCACCGCATTTATTTTATGCTGTGAGTTGAGTGAAATCTTCAAATGTGTCTAAATTATTAAAGCTTTTTAATTTATTGGTCAGGGTTTGATGTTTTGGAAATTCCCCTTACCTTTTTCCAGTACGTTAATTCTTAAAAATCAGTATAATTATTTTAAAATCTCCAGTAATGTTCCCGTTGACTAAGAACAATAGCTGGGCATTTTAATTTTGTAATCAAAAGATGGCAAAATATTGTTACGTAATAAAAAACATAAAATGTCACTTGATTTTAATAGAATTCGAATCAATCAATATGTATTGGAGATTTTCGAATTTTAACCTCCTGAGAGAAATCTCTAATTTTGACAAAATTTTGTTGTACCTAGTGCGCCCTGCAATGCGCCTATATGATCGCCCAGGGCCCCGACTCGATCGATTCGCTAGGCAGATCCAACACAAAAAGTGACCAAACAAATTGATCCCAAATGCCGATCTGCAAATGGCAACCAAAGCAGACGAAGCACAGACAACAAACGGAGCTCGAGTTCCGCCCACGCCACCGCTTCCAGTACGAGTGCCAGTTTTTGTTCGTCCAGCAGAAGCAGCAGCAGGAGCAGCCGTGGTGACTACAGTGAGACAAAGCTAACAGCGACGCGCGATCCAGCGGGAGATTATCGGCGCCCGAGAGGCCAGGAGGTGGCCGTCATGCAGCTGCAGGCGGCCGGGGCCCAATTAACCAGCAGCTGCATTTAGCTCACCCATACAACATACCAGCACATTCTCACAGTCACACACACACACACACCAGCACACTGTCACACTAGCACTCAGTCACACAGACACAGACACACGCACACACACAGATCAATACATTGGCCAGGATTCAGTAGTGAGCTCATCGAAGCAGAACCAGAACCAGAACCAGAAACAGAACCAGACCCTGAAAACGAAACTGAAACCATGCAGATGATACTTGTTGCTGGCGGGTAAGTGAAAAGCCAAAAGTGTCCTACCTTCCACCTTCCACCTCCCATTATCCTTCCAAAACAACCTCCCCCTCGATGTGATATGTGTGCCTCTGTGTGCGTGTGTGTACTCGGAACTACTCGTACTAACAGAAAATATCTGAGACCTTGTATGTAACCGCCGTGTATCTATCAGGAGTATCTGTATCTGTATCTATATCTATATCTATGCTAACAATTGTACTATACTACGATCTGACTCAGTCAGTGCCATGCTACATCTGTCTCTCCTTCTCTGTACCCGTATAGTTATTCTGCGTACTGTGCTTATTGTTTCGCCTTATTTGCCCGCCCAATGCCTTTGCTTGGCACTTGTATCTAGCTTATATATTTAGTTACCATATCTCGTAACTCTCGTATTGTGTACTAAGTATAGCTTTTGTCTCTCGTTGAGCAAATACATATATGAATTTCTTTCTAATCGCTTTCTTTCTTTGTTTCCCCTTTTGCCACACTCTACGCTCGCTACGATGACCAAACTCAATGTGTCTCGGTGCTTTCATATTGCAGGTAAGTGACAAGATATAAGTATTTTTCCGTACTTGGTATCAATATTTAATGTTATCTATAAGATCGAATCTAGTTTGGACCCAATTGAAAATGAAATAATTATGCAGGTTTTTCTGCCTTATTACCCTTTTTTGTTCAATATGTATACACTTTTATTGCAAATTTTGTGACGAATTCAACGATGATTGACATTCAAACGTTTGACTCCAAGGCTGGATTTTTGGAGAAATAGGAAAATAAAACATTTCCAAAGAGTCGTTTGGTTGTAACTTGGCCAAAATACGACGCATAGCCAAAAAGGTTTTGTGCAAATGGAAACCTAAAAAATCTGGCCCAATCGATTTACAAATTCAATTTGTTTTGATAAAAAAAAAACGATTTCTTAAAGACGTTTTTTTTTAAAAATGGCAAATTTTCGCATTTTTGATAAGGGGCTACATCATCATTTTTTGCCGAAATTCGAAAATCTGAAAAAATTTTAACTGTGAATGCCATTTGATTGGAAATTTTATTACGAATTCAACGGTGTATGACATTCCAACATCTGACCATTATTTCCCAGGGTTTTGACACAAAAACCAAGTTTTTAATGTGTATTTTGGGATTTTTGGCGATTTTTCAAACAACATTTTTTCTGAAGAGTCTTTTTGCTGTAACTTTACCAAAATAAGACCCTAAGTCAGAAGAGTTGCTATTTTGAACAGCTGGCAACCCATACCATCCATCCCTGATCGATTGAAAACAATTTATTTTGTCTTGACGCAAAAACCGAATTTTGAAAAACGTTTTTTGACAAATTTTTTTTTTGTCCAAATTTTTGACTTTTTTGTAAGGGGGTACATCATCATTTTTTGCCGAAATTCGAAAATCTGAAAAAATTTTAACTGTGAATGCCATTTGATTGGAAATTTTATTACGAATTCAACGGTGTATGACATTCCAACATTAGACCATTATTTCTAAGGGTTTTGACACAAAAACCAAGTTTTTAATGCGTATTTTGGGATTTTTGGCGATTTTTCAAACAAAATTTTTTCTGAAGAGTCTTTTTGCTGTAACTTTACCAAAATAAGACCCTAAGTCAGAAGAGTTGCTATTTTGAACAGCTGGCAACCCATACCATCCATCCCTGATCGATTGAAAACAATTTATTTTGTCTTGACGCAAAAACCGAATTTTGAAAAACGTTTTTTGACAAATTTTTTTTTTGTCCAAATTTTTGACTTTTTTGTAAGGGGGTACATCATCATTTTTTGCCGAAATTCGAAAATCTGAAAAAATTTTAACTGTGAATGCCATTTGATTGGAAATTTTATTACTAATTCAACGGTGTATGACATTCCAACATTTGACTATTACTTCCCAGGGTTTTGTACAAAACCGCAGATTTTGGTGTTTTTTGCGTTTTCGCAAGTTGTTGTTACTTGGCCAAAATAAGACGCATTGTCATAGGAGTGACTCTTTTTACGACGAATTCACTGAGTTCACTGAGCAGTTTCAAATTGTAAGCATTATTTTTTTGGTAGTTAAAACCAAAACCGATTCATGTTGTTTGTAAAAAAAAAATACCTTTCTAAACAGTTGTTTTTTTCGTTATTTGTCCGTAATAAGACCCACAGCCAAAATATTAACCGCTTTGTGCAGATATCTTAACAGACCATTTCTACATTAGCTAGGGTCAAAGACTTAAGATACTTTTTCAATAAATTAGCAAACATCTTTAAAAATTGTTTTACATGATGTGCACTAACAATTCATGGTTTGTGTTTTGGTAATGTATTTTCCAAAAAAGGAACCTATTTTAGTTGGGACACTGGAGCTTAAAGCTTTCCTCAAACTTAAGACACCTTCGGAGCTTGAAAGCTTAGCTCAAACCAGATTTATTTGATTGAAGACAACATTTGAATAGCTTTTAAGCTGGCCAACAAACTACTATCCAAACTTTGATAGAACGGTAAAGCTTAAAGCTGCGCTTTATTCAGCTTTCTCTGTCCGTTCCCCGTTCCTTGCCTTTTCCTGAACTTTCTCATGCTTTGTTTGCGCGCGCGATTGTATGCGTGAATGTGCCATGTGTTTATTTATTAATAATTGCATTACTCATACGCCATGCTGTCCCTAGCTGGAAGCAAAGCGTTCAAGTGCGCACGTGACACGTATATGCCAGAGTATGTGTGCATTACTGGGAGCCAGTGTGTGTGTAGGTGTGTGTGCAGTTATTCGCATTATTATAATCAAGTGGAGCCCAACAAAGGGAAGCGAAGGCATAGTCATAGGCCGAGGAAGCATAACGAGCCCGGCGGCGTTTTAAAGCACACATTAATAATGGAGCAGTTCACCTTGCCACCAGGAGATGGGAGATGGGGCTATGGGGTTATGGCTTTTGTGGTTTCTCCTTCGATTCGATTTTCACTTGCTCTCCGGGCATGTGTATGTGCATGTGTTGGTGTGTCTGTGTTTGGTTCATTTACAGTTTTCACCTAGTTTTCATGTTTTGGTTGTTTTGCCACTGGCCGCCGCCTCAGCGGCCCCAAGCGGCATTCGCTTTGTTTGACACCCCGTCCGTCGGCTGGCCCCGTGTTTCCAGCGGCCGGTGCCCGAGTGTCGCCAGTGTCGCCAGTGTCCCTGTGTCCCTGCGTCCCTGGTTCCCGCTCTTCTTGCTCAGCCATGTTCACTCAGGCTACTCTTTGCCATTGTTGTTGTGGTGGCCGCTTTGTTGTTTTCCCATTTTCCATTTCCCATTTTTTTTCGGGCCTGCTTTTGGTCCCTGTGTTCGTGCCAAGTGGCACTAAAACTATTTGCCTTTTGCCCAGTTTGGCCAGCGGGAACAGGAGCGGTACCTGCCACACACACACGGCACACATAGCACATGCCACACACACACGCTGACACAGACACAGACACAGACACAACGCTCGGCACGCAACACGCAGAGGCGCTAGCGGAGTCGGAGTGCAGCGCTGGGAAACTCCATGCCATCCGATCCAGAGGAGTCGGAGTAGGAGCAGGAGTCGGAGTCGAAGTCGGAGCCAATGCAGCAAATCGCACGTGTTCGCCTCGGCCCAAAGCGTTCGTGGCTGGTTCGTGGCGCCCAACGTGGGGCATCGTGGCATAGTGGCTTCGTGGCTCCGCAGGCCGTTCGGCTCGCCGTTCGTCGGCTTCGGCGGTGGTGCTGGTGCTGGTGCTTGGGCCACGGCTGGTGGCGCTGGACACTTTTGCAGCGCCTCAGTTCGGTTCAGTCGTCGCAGTCGCAGTCACGTCGTCACAACGTAATCGTGCAACGCGTTCCGCGCTTGGCGGCGACTGTCGTCAGTCAGTCAGTCAGTTAGTCAATCAGTCAGTCAGTCAGTTAGACAGTCAGTGAGTTAGTCAATCAGTCAGTCAGTTAGTCAGTCAGTCATCGTATCAATCAGACAACTGGAGTTTTTCTCCAGTTTTCAATACTTTTTTAACCTCGCTCCCCCCACTCGCACTTCTTTTTAAAGCAGGTGCTGCGTGCCGCGTTGCCGCGCGTGATTATTGTTGTTGTTTTTTTTTCGGTGAATGTGAGTGTGTGTTTTTCTTTTTTTTTTTAAATGTAACTCTTGTTGTTGTTATTGTTGTTGTTGTTATTGTTGTTATTCAGAACGCGGTGCGTGTCGCGCAAAACGAAGCAGAAGGAAAAACTCCATTTAAAAGGTGTTTAAAGGAGAGCTTAAGGAGCCACTTAAGCAACGTGCGTCGCGTGGTTGTCGCCGTGGTTGAAAAAGAAAAAAATAAGAAAGAAAAATAAAAGAACAGAAAAGAGTAACAATGGCCAGGACATGATCAGCTTAGAGCTCTGAGGCTACCGTATCGCACTATCTGTGTTTGTTTACCTTAATTAATGCAATGGCAAACGGTAAACGGTAAACGGACCCGAACACGGCCAACATAATTTGCCTTGGGGCGCCACTCGAATCCACACCGCTGCAGCCTCCGGTGGAAAAGGTAGTGCTGGCTGGTTGTTGTCCAGCTCCAAGCCAACTTAGCAGCTGCAGGTCGAGTTAATTAATATTTCACTCTAGTCAGCGGGGTTCTGGGGTCAAGGGTCACGGGGGCGGAGGATGGAGGATGGAGGACGGATGACGGAGGACGGAGGACTGACGGCGGAGGGAAGAATGTGAAGAGGCACACCACTGAAGTTTTGCTTGCATAAGCAACTTCAATTCCTATTGCCATTTTCCATTTCTATTTCCCTTTCCATTCCCATTGCCATTTCCATTTCCATTTCAGTGGCCTTTCTGCCACAGCCAGTGGAGTGGCCCAAAAGAGCCAAAGGAGCCTAAAGAGAAACTGGCGAATTGCTCATACGACGCATTGGCGCCGTCAAAAACTGAACGAGCCACAAAGGCAGAGGGGAAAGCAGCCGAAGCTAAAAGAAAAACAAGTTGACCCAATTTGCAATTGTAAATCAAACTTAAAATCACAGCCGAAGCTAAACCAAAATAGAATAGTCAAAGAAATATGCACAAGGCAAACCAGATTGGGTAATTTTAATACATATACAAAGCCTGCCCCCAAGGATCAAAACTAAGATCATTAGAATAGTTTAAGCCATTTATTAAAATTGGCATGTGGTCAACAACAAATTTGTATATTAAATACCACATTGATTTTATTTATTTATGTTTTATTAAAGCTTAAAAAGGGGATTTCATTTCATTGCCTAAGAGAGTATATTAATTCTACGCATTGGAAAATAAATGTGAACCCATCGAAGTTTTTTTCCATGTAATGGCTATTACTCGCGAAGGTTTTACAAACTGTTAATTCCTTCTGTGTAACAGTTAAAACTCCGTTTTGTGGCTTTATCACTCAACAAAACAAGAGGTTTCCTATAATTTTACCATCCATTGTTTTACAAGTAGCTGGAATGTCTTGGAAAACTTACCGCCACCCAGTTTTCCATGGAAATTAGTTCGGATTCTCGCTCTTTTCATTAATTTGTCTAAGAGCAGCTGAGGTTTTTCCCTATTACAACTTGAGCACAAGGCATATGGGGTTATTATTCTGCCTCGTCTCTAAGCTTCTTTTGTGTACGCTTCTCCTTTTGTTTTGTGTTTTGTGTTTTGTGCTTTTATTTTTTTTTTTTTTTACGCCATGTTCTTATTGTATTTGCGATTAAATTCAAGTTTGACTCGCACACGCCAAAATTAATTGGGCACTTGAAGAGTTGAAGAAGTCGAACGGTGTGGCGAGGGGTTCGAGGGGAGGGTGGATATGCCGTGACGGCTCGACAGCCCAGTCTTCTCCTTAACCCTTATCCACTAATGGGGGCTCAGTGCCCACCAACCCTCCCTTCCCTACCCTTCCCTTCCCTTCCCTTCCCTTTGCTGTTTTTGTGTAATGTTCTAGGCAACTGATTTATTTTGATTGAACTTTGCATGCAAGCAGCTGAGGCAACAGGAAGATGGGGTGGGGTGGTCTGAGTTTGAGCAACAACTGGCAAGTGAAACATCATAAAACAAAAGCAGTTTGCGGTTGAATACGAGTACGGGGAACACCCCTTTTCGGGGGAAACACTGAATTGGAGGCCATTCGCACGCACATAGCTCGGTTTTTTAGGCGCCGAGGCTTAGGCTTAGCTCCAGCTCAATCGTAAATGCGTCGAGTGTGGCCCCAAGTCCCCCAACCCAACCCCCTCTCTTAACCCCTTGGTTTCTGGGTGCCTGGGTGTGTGTGGGTTAAGTGGTTATGGCAACAACAACAACAGCAGCAGCTTCTCTACCGACGCTAATAAATCCCCTCTTTGCTAAGCTCTCCTAATTCCACTGAGGCCAACTCGGCTTTGTCTTTCGCCTCTCCACCGTACATCGAGTGGCTTTAAAGTGCCGACTGTAGACTGTCTTCAGCTGTAGATTTCCGATTTTCCCGTTTTTCCACTTACCACTTTGCGATTACCACATTTTTCGATTTTCCATTTTCAAAAAAATGAAATAAGAAATGAAAAACATCTCTGATTGAATGCGTGAGTGCCAACTCTTTCGCTCCATTTTTTCCTTCCTGCCACGCTCGCCCATTTAGTTTTGGCCCAATTGCCAACTTACATATGTATATATTTATGCGCATATGTTTGCGGTATGCCACTGACACACGCACACTAAAAGAAATTCGGTTGGTCATCAAAAATATCCCCAGAGTTCCTGTCCACTCTATATGCTATTATATACTTGGGGAATTAATGCCACAGTTTTACATTGTCACCATAAAATATTTAATGTTTCAGTAAGACTCTTTTATACTTTCTTTTCTAATTTGTGCACTTAATTTAAGACTCACTTTATGGTAAAACGCCATAAAGATAACTTTTTAAGCTTTTAACTGTAATTAATTAAAATCTGTACAGTTTTTCCTCATTTGCATAAAATTTTCTAAAGCAGAAGTTATTCTTCTTTGCATAAACTTTAAGTTACAGCAGTTTGCGGTGAAAAGTAGTAAGAAAGCAAAATAGTTTTGCGCCAAGTGTGTCATCTATCTGGGTATGGATATTGTAAATTATTCGCCTGGATCCGGAATCTCTTGCCAGTGGATTTGGGTCCTCCGGTTTGGAGGCTGCTGCTCGGAGAAATGTGGAAATGCGAATGGCGAACGGAGAAAGGAGACAGGAGAATGGAGAATCGAGAAAGTTACGCACTGCGGCGATGTCGAGTTTTGGGCTTTTAATATGCTGCCGAGAGGTGGAAATATTGGTGTATGTGTGTGTGTGTGTGTGTAGATTGCACGTGCGCTGCGTGATTTTAATTTGAAACAAACATAGCCAGAGCACCCAAACACAAACACACCAATTTTCTTCCTCGTTTTGCGTTCCTCTTTTTAGGTTTTGGTTTCGGTTTCTTCTTTCTGTGTTTTTTTTTTTTTTTTTTTTTTTTATTTCTTTGTGTGGCCCCGGCTTTTCACAGTTTTATTTGGTTTTTCCGTTTTCGCTTGGCTCTCACTCTTTTTTTTTTGCGTTTTTATTTGTTTTTTTTTTCGTAATTCTTTTTACGACTCAACAAGCAGCAAAAATATAACAAACCAAAAAAACAGAAAAAAACAAAAAGAAATTGTGGTGGGGGGGTGGTAGAAAGAGAGAACATTTATTGATCTGCGGCCGCTTGAAGCCAATTTGAAGGTCAAGCATACGCACTGTGGGCCCGAGGAGGAATCCACTGCGAAAGAGTTATGCAGTGTTATATAAACATATGCACCCCACCGCCAACCAGTGACGTCATTGTAAATTATTTTCAAATTTGCTCCCAAAGGCCAAACAAGAAGCAGCTGCTGCACAAAGCGGAAACGGAAGTAGCATCAAGGAGACAGGAGGCCACAGCACGGCATACATAGCATACTTTTCGGGGCGAAAGGCATTGGAGTGGGCTGTATTTTTCAGTGAATTGTGGGGGGAGAGGTGGTTGTACGGGAGTTTGGCTGCAGTTTGGCTCCCGCTGCTCCTTGTTGTTCCGTGTCAAACATTTTCATCCACTTGTTCGCATTATCCTGCCAGACAGCGCACAGCGGGCGAGGGCTTCAAAAGATGCCGCCAGCAGCAGCAGCAGAAGCAGCAGTGGTAGTGGCATTGGCAAAAATTGTTACAATTGTTGTCGCGGGCGGGGGGCTCCAGCGAAAGCCAAATCCGTGCGAGCCAAACGAGCGAGAGAAAAATGAAAGGAATAAAATGGCAATAAACAGGCAGGAAAATGGTCGTGATAAAACGAAAGTTATATACACTTTCCATGCTTCCCCCGCCAGATGAAGTTTAAGGAATACTAAAAGTTTGCTTAATTACAAGCATGGCTAAATTCTTTTATATTTAGAAAACGTACTTCCACGGAAAATCGTCAAAAGCTAAATGTTCCTATTTCAAATGGATAGCTTATAATTAAAAACAAAAATGTTCTTAAAAAAAATTTTAAGGCTTTAGTTTAAGTAAAAAGTCTTTGACACAGAGCCATCAATATAATAAAAATAGGAACTATGAAAGAATATTATTTTGTAATCCCTAAAATAGCCAACAAAAAAGATCTGACTTTAAAACTCTTAAACTAACCGCATACAAGACAAAACCCACTTTAATCGAAAAACATAAATATTTATTGCTATACTCGTACTCCCCTCTATTGGCATCTTCTAACGAACAGAAAGAAAATTGATATGCCCACTTTTGCAAAACCCATGATTGAAAAGACTTTCCTATTGACTGCACTCTTAAGTTTATCGCTGGCTTTCAGGAAAGCAGCTAGCTCTGGGATTATCCCCAAGTTGCAGGGTATTCGTATCAAGCCAAAGGCTTTTCCTTTTCCTACCTTCGACGCCCCTTGTGAAAA